TCGTTATAATTAAGAAATTCCATTTTACCACTGAGCAACAATATACAAAACGAAATTGTATGCGATGAATGGCATCATGAAATATATGAATGCCAAGGGCCATAGCTAAGCCAAAAACTTTAATTTTTATTCAAATTTGGAATATCTTATTACCTATTTAAATGCATTAACTGTCACTGGGCTTATGAGCTGCTTATTGAATTATGAATGCAATTTGAAATAAAAGCGTTTAATTTAACAATTATTATGCTCATATTTAATCATTAAAATGTGTGGCACATAAACAAATAAGAGTTATGCAGAACCAGTAATATATTATTATTTAACTAATATGTCACATGTCCCAGGGCAATAATAATGGTTACAGCTTTGTCAGTTACCATTGAAATTGTTTTTGGACTATTTCCACCCAATTTGTATGCATACCTAATCCAAGCAAAGGCAATGTATTTTCGTGGCTGGGATTTGGCCTCAAATACTCGTTGCGACAGTGAGCAATGAAATGCACTTTAGCTCATCTGTGAGTGCTGTGAGCAACTAATCACAGAAACCAAATCCAAATCCAAATTCAACTCCTGCTCCAGCTCCAGCTCCAATTGCAACTGTACTAAAGCAATTCAAGTATGTCACTCAGTCAGCGCTCAGAGGCAAGCATTTCGAATTCGCATATCCTTTGGCTGCTGGCGGGTGGATTTGGTAGGTTGCCCCTTGAATGTCTTGTGGTGCGCATTGTTGCGCTTTCAATTGCAGTTTTTTTCGCTGCGCCAACGAAAGGCATTAGCTGGAACTTCCCAAGTGACGCCAGGACAATGTCAAGCCAGACTAAAGAATCTAGGCAAGCTCATTTTCACGGCAATTGAAGCTGCTGCTCTTGTGTGTGTCTCACTCTTTGTGTGTGAGTGTGTGTATCTGGTTGTGTGTGTGTGTGCTTTACAGCTTTTAATTAATTGAATTTTATACCATATTTCTAGCTCGGATTTCGATGCCCTTCTATTTTTTGCCCTTAATAAAAAACCAGAATCTCATTTCTAATGTAGAATATTTGAGCCTGCGTTTAGAACGGACTATAGAAAATGAAGTTAATAAAGAATACACAGTATGAGCAGAGGAAAGAAGCAGGACAGTCGCTGACGATTAGTTAAGGGTATCTGCTTGTCGGGCATTCCCTACACGAGCCCTCTTATTTGTTGTTCTTTTTTCTTTGGCCTGCCAAGTTCTATTGAACAACTAACAGGCAGGCGCAGCTTTTCCAGCATTTTCATTGAAATGCATGTGGAAAATTTTCTATCGCTTGCCTGCAATGTTGCGTAAAATTAGAAAGCATTGTGCTGAACTTCAATGGGCAAATTTATGAGAACTGCCAGGAGCTCATCAATGAGCCGTGCTCTCTCTCTCTCCCTCTCGCTCTCGCTCTCTCTCTCTCTCTACAGGGGTGGTTCTCAAGTGGGTAGCTATTCATGTGTGGTAATTAATTAAAAGGTTTTAGTTATCTCCGCGATTCAGTCTTTTTGAATTGCGTTAATGCAGCATTATTTAATTTTGGTTTTTATTCAACTATTTACCCATTAGATTTTAATTTGATTTAATTTGTGTATTAGCTGGTATTGTCCGTGCTACATTTGATTTCACACATTTTTCACTATTGTAAACAGCTAGAATTCTACATTCAATCGGTTGTAGTTCACAGTTTTCCAGCCATTCGTAATAAGTGAACCGCGACTACCCTAGGGATCTAGGGGACATTCATATATATATTACTAGGTTATCGAGAAAAAGTGTGTGATACCTACTTGTGTGTTTGTAATGAAATTCTCTGTGAAATACAGTTAAGTAAATCTCTTTAAAATGCGGAATAAATTTTGTTTGTGCTGTCTAAAAACAATTTAATATTCAAAAGCCAACACTCATCAATCCCACACACAACTATTTATAGTTGTTATTAAGCTAAAAGCATAGCAATTAGCGCATTTTGTTATTATTTATATTTAACAATTAACCTAATTTGATGAAAAAATCTACAAAAATCGAACAATATACGTTTATGTGGCTAATCCCAAACCAAAAATAATACCGCACACATTTAAACATGATTGTATGCAGCGTGTCAAAAGCTGCCGCATAAAAGTTCAATAAACTCGAATGTTTCCATTATAAAATCAATATGCAATATTATGAATATTTTATTTTAGGCCACACTCGCACGCACTCGCACACACAAGGAGCCACAGTAACAACAATGAAAAGCGAATGAAGCACAACTAAATCCCCAAAAGGCAATTGATTAGCTTCAAAATGGGGACAATTGGATAGCCGCAAATGTATTTTAATATCGGGTGCCACATTACTGACAGAGAGGTGCTCTCTTTCTCCCCCTCTCTCTCTCTCTCTCTCTCTCTCTTAGTCTTGCTCCCTTTCTAACGCCCATTGAGCAAAGGAAATACAAAATTTATTTAAATCGTTGAGCCATGTGAAATTCAATGAATTTCGATTTGTTGTTTCTTTTTTATTTTTGGTACGAATCCCTCGATAAATCACCCACTGCCAACCTTTTAAAGTTGCATGGGAAGCGATACGATTTAAATGTCCCAAATAGTTTTTCCTTCATGGTTATGAATAAATTTTGTTGGCCTGGGGGGGAGGGAGGTGGATCCAAAGCGAAAATGGAGCAATCGCTTGAAGCTGTCGCCTGTAAGGCAAAAATTGCACAAAGGCAACGCCGATTGGGCGAAAAGGACGAACAGAAAAAAAACAAGAAAAAATGACTATCTACGCGTTGCCGAACTTGAAATATCCTTTATGAAATATGACTATTTACACGTAGGAACACGATTTGATACGATTTGCAGATGTTGCGAGAATAGTGATATTTTGAGAAAACAAAAAATGATTCATACCAAGACTCAGATAACAGATTTCAAGGTTTCATTTTCAGTTCATCTAAGTTTTTAGCCTTCGTTCCTTTGGCACTTTTATGATATAGTCGGCCGATTCTACCGTCTCCGGAACATATATACCATACAACAAGAAGATAGATATGGATATCTTAAAGATAAAGCGAAAGGTTTGCTTAGAAACCGGACAAAACTATGCCAGTTCGGCTGTTGTCAATGCTCAACATTATTAATACTTTATGAGCTCGTGTCAAAATTAGAATATCCCCCGAAAGGGTATCCAAAGGCATCATAAAAACACAAAAAAAATCTGTCGGTACGCGAAATGAAGGCATGAATGAATGAGCAGCTGAGCCAAATGCATGTTTGATTGAATGCATGTGCATTGAGTACGTGAAAATGCATAAGAGAAACAGAAGTGAAGGCAGCGGGTGGCGGGGTGAGTACACTCACATTTCCAATCATATTTGCATATTCATATTTACCTGCTGATAAAGGTGCAAACTCAAAAGGTGGCAAGAAAATTTACGTTAAAAACCTCCAAATAAAACAAAGTTAAAGCATACGCAGCGAAAAAAAATGCTCGAATCTGCAATGGCGTAATTTGAATGCATTTTTATTTTAATACTCAGGCCGTAAAGGCATGAAAGGGTATATATGGCCTGTAGCAACGCCTGTAAATCTGATGAACGATTAGCTGTACCTGTCTTTGTTTGCTCACGTTGCAAACTCTCGAAAACATAAAACGAGACTAAATCAACAACGTTACTTCGATTTGTAGCAAATAGTAAACTGTACGAACTAGAGCGAGACTAAAGCTATGCGAGACTCTGCAAAAGGCGCTTTTAAAACAGTCAAAACAACGCTTTTTTTTCTATTAGTGAAGCTTTAAGAGCATCTGATGTTCATTTAAGTACATACATATGTAAATCACAGAGGGGAATACAGAATCTATAACGTAAAAGCTTCTGACTAGAATCATTTCTAAAAACTAAACTGAATATAATCTTTAAACTCAAGGCATTATCTAGAACTTTAGGCAGCTTTAAAAGCACGCAAAAGCTTTAAGCGAATTTAGAAGGTATACCAATAAATTGACTTTAAGCTCATATCTTCCTCTCTATCTCTATCTTCGTTCGCGTTTATAAATATATATAATATAGTTAATTTTGTGAGTTTAAAACCAAAATTCAACATGAATACCTTAACATTTGTACTGAGTATCTATTAGTCGAGATAGTTTTGTTGAAAAGCTTTGCTTATTGTCGACTTGCAGCACTTTTTGTTTTGCATAAATATGAAATGCGAATTTCAATGTGAATAGGCCCGGCAATGGCTTCCAACTGCAATTTACATTGTTTTCGCGCTGAATGCCCCTAAGTTCTATGGTCTATGCAATGCCCTCAAATGCAATGCCTGACTGCAATGATTGCATAAAGCCAGCTAAGGAGATGCCTTTGCTCAGGATAAAAGGCATTGTGTGTGTTAGCTTTACTGTGTATGTGTGTGTGTGTGTGTGTGTGCCAAGGGGAGCAAGGTTATTCCGCTGAGAATTGCAGCATTGTTAGATTGTGTTCCATTAGAGTTGTGCAATGGGCAGAAGATTTTATTGTTGTTGTTTTTTTTTTTTTTTGACTATTCTTGTATATTGACTAACAAGGCGTGAATAATTTTTAAAAAGGGATAGTAATCAAATAATAAAAAATAATAAATATATATTCCTATATTCGTAAGCCAACTTGATTTATATATATTAAACTTCTGAAAAATGGGAATCAAATATATTTAAAGAACGTTATAAGAGTATAAAGTCTTAAGGTAGTACGGGATTAAATTTCCTACGGTTATTTGTCAACCGATGGAAAAGTGTTGTCTAGTAGAAAAGACTTGGCAAGGGATAGGTAATGCCAAATAGAATAAAAGGACATTGTCAATCTTTGAGATTTCACAAACTATTAATCGATTTATTATAGAGAATGGTTGTTATCATTTGCTTCCAGGACCCCAACTTAATTCCATCTTTGCCTTGGATTCCAACTTATGCTCTTAATAATTTGCTTGGTTTTTATTTCTTGTTTTGTAAAATGTTTTACATTTATTTCATTTCAGCTATTCAACTAAGAGTACCAATTAAAGGACACTCATAATTAAGCTGTCTGAAACGAACCAATAAACAAACGAGGACTGCAAAAGGAACCAAAACGAAAAAAAAAGCCGAAACCAAACGTATTTAAGCAAAGCAAAACTAACAATTAACTTGGCTTAGCCGGCTACCATTTTTCGTTGTGATAGAAACCAGAAAACTCGGTAAGTGGGACACAAACAGAAAACAAAGTCGACTTTTCAGGTACTATGGGGCTTGGTTATCTGGTATATGATACCTGCAATGACCACCTCAAAGGGCTGAAATGCAGCTAAAAGGCAAATGCACATCAAAAGGTGAACAATACGAGCCGGCCATAATATTAATTAGAATCCTGCCTTAGCTGCATTTCGAGTTTTTCCAACTGGCCCCCAGTTATAATTATACCCTGAACTCATTATAAATTGCTAAGCAAAGATATTAAAGGGTTGTGCAATTGTATGCAAAAAGGCACAAAGATACATCTGTGACCCCTTTTAATATATATATTAAAAAATCAACAATAATTCCAACCAATGCCACGCCTAAAGGTTGGATTCGTGAACCAGACTTATTACATCTAAGATACAACGATTTGTTTCGCACTTTTCAGCTCATATATTTACAATTTTCAATTCATCGAACATTTTTTCAAATATTCTTTGAAGGCTTTATTTTGGGTACCTAAAAGGTTTTCACTTTCAAGTGACCAATGTACAGGGTATTCTTAGTCGCGTACTCTTAAATAGAACGACTTTTCATTTGCATTTTCGTTGCAAAATTTGTTAATAGCAACAAAAAATTGTTTACATTTTTAGTTGAATTTCTTTGGCGTTTCAGAATTCCATGAGCTGCCAAAAGGGTTGCCACAGGCGCTTTGCTTTCTCTAGCGACCTCTCCCCCCTCTCCATCAGTTTGTTCACTGCTGTTTACCCTTTCGTTTTTCTTGGTTTTGCAGGCCTATTCAGTGAAAGCATTTGATTTTATAATACTTGTTTATATATACAATTTTTTGAATATATTTTTTGTGTGCATATTTTGCATAGTTTATTGCTTCATTTCCTGCTGTTTCACGCTTTTGACAAAGCACATCTATTTTATATACTATATGTGTGCAGTTTTATACAGCTCTTTTTTTTTGTGGGCTTTGCGAACACAAAACGTATTTTCGTATATTTTTTCAGAATTTATTTAGCATTTTCTCTTTATTCACATTTGTGTTTTATTTTTACTTATTTTTTTCAAAGCTGTTGCTTAGTTTCTGCTTTTTTGTATCTTTTCCACTTGATCCACTTAAAATCGTTGGCAAAAGAAACGCGGCGCATAATTTTATTTATTTTGTATGCCCTTACGGCAGGTATTCCAAATTTGTCAAACAGTTTGTTAGCCTAGACGAGTCTGCCCATTTCAAATCTATTTTATTCAAATGTTGAAGAAGACATGGAAATCTATCAAATCAAATTGCATTATTGCTGCACCTATTTAAAAACTAGAATTAATTGGGCTACTTTCGTATTATATATTACCTAAAGTAAATTAATGTTTTCAGCTTTTATGCCCCATCGATCGGACGAAGATGTTCTTTTAACTTAATGAGATTATTTGACAAGATGTAATGCTATAGTTTCCGCTCTTAACTTTTGATAAGATTTAAAACTTATTTTGCTACGTTCACAGTACTTTATTTTGATATGAAAATATTTACATCTCCGACCCAGTAAATTATATATATTTTTTATCATCATCAACAGCAGAGTTTCAATAGCCATGCCCGTGTCCGTCCGTATGTGTCAATGCAAACTTGTCCTTCAGTTTGCAATCAGCCGGACGAACTATATGATATGGCTGACATCCGATATCAAGATATGAAGACCAACCCAGCACTTACTTATTTAACTAAGCTGTTTTTATATGAGCTAAGTTTTATCAAAATCGCAGTTCTATATATGATAGCTCTAAGGAAATAATCGGGTTTGATATTTTATTTTTTATTCACTAAACACAGCATTTACTAGGTTGACTAGGCTGTAAGCCAAATATCTGGAAGGCTTTTGTTATTTTTCACAAGAACAATCTTATGCAAGAAAGTGTATTCACTGTTCTATAAGTGTGCATTCTGTTGATCTGTGTTAATTTCATTTGCAGTGCTTAATGCTTTCGTGTTTTTGCCACGTTCTTTTGCTAACGTTTTATTTATGCTAATTTAATGCAATTGTTGTGTTTGGCGAGAATGAAAAAAAAAAAGAAAAAAACGAAACCGCAAACAATGGCGGCAACCGTTCGTATGGGTAATGCGCAGAAAAAATAGAATACTTTAGGGTATATAATATTAATCACTGCAATTTGATTTAGAAACGGTCTTTAATCGTTGTAATTAAAAAGTATTACGCGAATTTTGCTTATATATTTCTTAAGAAAAAGTCGTTTTACCTAACGAATGTGTCAATGTGTGATTCCTAACTCAGCCTTGCCACAAAATCATGTTAAATATTTAGCCTAAACGGCACATATGTACTTTAGTCAACTATTCAAATTGTTAAGCTCACACTCTACACAGTTTACGTTAAGCTGCTAATCCTAACTGCATGTCAATTACTTAACGCTGCGTCCCACGCTTCACTCCCTTTCAATAAACCCTGAGCTATTGGCTTTGCCAACTTTCGTATACCGCAAATTTGTAGCAATTTGTGTTTGGTATTAGTTGGCGTTGATGGGTAATGCATATAACACCTACACGGTGGCTATAAATTTCACTAAATTTTATAAAGACAACTCTGAGATACTCACCAAACATACATACACACACACATACACACTCACACACACACACATCTGGCAAAAGACCCCACTAAGTGCTTCTCACACGTAGCAGAAGTAAATGTGTTTATATGTACGCAACGGGCGGAAAGCACACGAAGCCAAAGGGATGAACATGAGATACATTCATGCTGAGACTTCCGCACACACTCACACACACATACACACGCTTGGGGACCCACATTACAACTCACACGTAGCAAGTGGCAGGTTAAAAACTCAACATTGACTACCGCAATAGACAACATTAAAGTGGGTTCCTGCAAGACATCTTCGCAGCCATTAGCACGCTGCACTTTCTCAATTTCTCATCGACGATATAGTCGCTTGTTCCAGAAACTTGAGCATATGCAAGTATTGGTTTGATCCCCAACTTGGAACAATATTAGTTTAGTGTTCTTTTACATGCCTTGTAGGGCAGTGCACCTAGTGACAAAGGTCAAAATCAAAAATATTTTTGTAAAATTTTAACGTGTTTTTATGTCTTTCAGTTCACGCTAATGTGCAATTGAAATCAGTTCAGTATGGGCACAAAAGTAAATATTAAAAAAAATAAATTAATAAGCAGTCAAATTTTGAACGTAAAAGTTGAAAATACTTAACAGGAATACTTTGAAAAAGGTAAAAAACAAAACAAAAAATGATTAAATTACTTCTTGTGGTTAGGTAGAAAAGTAAGACTTTCAAAAGATATTGAAAATATTTGAAAATAAATACATAAAATGAGCTTTAGCTATATTTCAAAAAGCTTTTTAAGAGTAAACAACTTTCGGCTTAGTTCCAAACGTGCTTTCTTTTAAGTTTTTTGTTTTGAGTTTCCTTATTTTGCTTTCTTGCTCAGCCGTTCAAAGAATAATAGACACATGTGAGTGAATGCAGGAAATAGGTAGAAAAAAAATATTGTACATTATTTTTTTATTTTATTTTGGTTTTCCGCAAATTTTACAAATACGTTTGGCGTACGTCGGAGCAGTCAGAGTCTGACCGTGTGCTCTACGAGTAGGTGGCCGGACGAGGCTTCCTTTTTTGTGGTTGCACTTCGTGTTAGAGTGCCTGTTGTGGGCGTCTCTTTTTGTTGTTTTTGTTTGTTTTTTTTTTCTTTTTCGTTAGCTTAATAAAAATACATTTTGCACGTGGTGTGCGACGCCCGCATCCAACACAGGCTGCTCAGTGGGCCGTGCAAGGTTCAGTACTTACTCGTATATTTGTTATACTATCTGCGTATCTGTGTTGGCGTAGCGCAAAAATAAACCGCACACACTTACCAGAAAATCCTTCCGGACACGTACAATTGTAGTAGGCAACACCATCCACACATGTGCCACCGTTTTGACAGGGGCCCGACCAGCATTCGTCCCAATTCGTTTGGCACTGGATCCCTGTGTAGCCGTCAATGCAGTAACACGAATACGAGCTGTACTCATTGTTGTTGTCATTGTTGTTGTCATTGTTGTTGTTGTTGTTGTTGTTGTTATCATGGCACATGCGGGAGGAGACAGTTGGTAGGTGTGGGCGCAACGGTGTGTCAATGATGCATCAAACGTTCAGCAAAAAAAGTTTTGTAGGCAAACCCATAAAACGAAAAGAGTAGAAAAAGTGAAATAACAACAAGAAAACGTTTTAGATAAAAATAGTTTTACAAATAGCACAATATGGTGTAGTATGTGGACAGAGGCAGCAAGTACACTGAGCAAAAATTAATTCTATTCTGCGAAGTCAGCGAAATAGTTAATAAATTCCATTAGAGGAAAATGGATTTATTAAAACATTATGGGAATTAAAAGCTAAAGCAGACAAGTAGTTAATTATATATTATATGGTGAGCTTTAAAGCTCATTTAAATGAGCTTGATTAAATTCACTTTTATATATGAGTGTTTAATTTATTTCTTTGCTACTGCCTAAAACCATTTACATAACATTACAATAATGACAACTGTACACTATTGATAAACTTGTGATAAGAAAACTTATACATACTTTTCAATTTCAGTATTTAATCTTACTGGGAGCTTTCAAGGGCTTTCAAAGCTCTTAAATGTGTGATATAAAAGCTCATATATACACTTTCCACTCTTGATATTGGGGTCCGTGTTACATCCATTTAATCCTACCTAGAGCTTTCAAAGCTCTTCAATGTATAATTTAAAAGCTTATGTGTACGTTGAAGCCCATTCTATTTGGCTCTGTGTATGTGCGCATGCTGCTTACACAGTTTGCTAGTGATTGGAGTGTGGCACACACGTACATATAGACGCATATGTACATACAAATGTATCTAAATCTAGTGGGGGAAAGTATTTGGATTTTGCTCAGTGCCCTGGCGAGTGCTATAAACTTGGCCAACGTACTTGAAACATTACGCTTGA